CTGTCCATAGAAGGTCAGACATTTCCTCATAAACATCAAACATGCTGATATATGTATAACGAGTATAAATTTACATAAATATTACTATAAACTTTAGTTCATTTGCCTTTTTTTAGTATTATAACATATGAACAGAATTTGTGCAAAATCTTGTGCTTGAATGGAAGAGAACATTTGCTGTGGCCTTCAGCTCAACATTTAGATATATCGACGACATATTGTCAATTAACAAAGACAATCTTCATTCCTATGTCGATACGATATGTCCTGGGGAGGGAGCTTGAGATAAAAGATACCACAGAGTCTAACACATCTGTTTCATATTTGGATATTTTACTTGAAAAAGACGTTAATGGTATTAAACAAGCAAGTTATATGATAAACGTGATGACTTTAACTTTTCTATCGTCAAATTCACAAATTCAAATGCACTTATACTTTCATCACCTGCATATATGGAGTTTATACATCACAGTTGATTCGATACACAAGAGTATGCTCTACGTATAAACAATTTCTAAAACGGGGAAAATTATTGACAAACAAATTCATGAAACAAGAATTTCAGCAGTCTCGTTATAAGTCAGCATTTCGTAAGTTCTGTGGTTAAAACAATGACCTTGTCAGCAAATATAATTCATCATTGAGTCAAATGCTGACTGACGTTTTTCATACCAATTGTCAGTCCATTATTTATACACTGAACTGACAACGGATTTAGCCTGGTCATGACAAGGAGCACACGGCGGGTGAAACTGGTTGACAGGGGATGCTCACTCCTCCATGACACCTGGTCCGATCTCCGATGTTTTGGAGGTCCGTGTTTGCTCTACTCCAGTTTTGTATTCTTTTATCTTGAATATTGTTCGTTATCTCCATGTTTCATCCATATACATATGTATCTTAAATATCTTTCTGAAAAATGTGTGTTTGTCCGTGGTTGTCCGTGGTTACTCCCTGGTGAATATATATTTTTATTGAGTTCAAAAGTTTTATTGTAACCAAATACACGTAAAAATGAAAATGGAAGCATACAGAAGTTTTGAATAAATTCTTCTTCACATGAAGAACCAAAAGGTATGTTAATAATGGACAAGAAATTTCAGCAGATAGTTGAAAAATCTGGTTTCCAAAAACTAAATAGAAATTGTCAATCAGAAGCTCACAGATCTAACAGAATGTTTTCAACAGAATAATTTTGTGGAGGTTTAAGAACAACCTTAATCTCAAACTATACCATAGGTACGGTTTATCTATATTGTATTTTATACAGTATCATGAAATACGAGGAAAACAAGCAGATGAAGTGTACATGTAATATAATTAGGAGAAAAATAATGAAATAACAATTAAGATACATGTATTTATTTGTCAAGCGTTTATCTACAATTAATGTATTCGTTTACCTGTTTAAACACCCAATTTTATGTTAACGCCCCCAAAATCTACCTGATTCACGATCAATAATTTACCGCCTGTCAATCATTAAAAAAACAATAGCTTCTGACTTGATTGACAGGCCAGCTACCAATGCTACCTGATAGTCCGAGTTTGTGTCCTTTGAAGACGATTGCCTGGTCACGCGTCAAACACTTTCATGTAGCCGCCTTGTATACACGTATACGGGGGGTTAAAAAAAGGGTAAAATTTTATTTTAAAAACAATTGAGTGCAGATAATTAAAACATGACTTCATAAAATATTTGCTTTTAATCTCAACGGCTATATTCATAATATTGTATTTTAGGCGATATGACGTCCAAGATTTAGACCCGTCCGTACACAGAAACGCTATTTGCCGATTAAAATTGGAATATGATAAATAAGAAAAGATATTTAGCACAAATGGCACGGATAACAAATTCATTTATCCCATGTTTTATTTACGTATATATGAATACAATCTATACCATGTTTCGTTTTAAAGTTCTTAAATGTCAGAAACAGCTAGGAGTTTCGAGATTGTAACTTTTAGTTCGAATTTCCTAACATCTGTCAATACCCGATATTCGAAATTAAAAAGTGAATGAATATATACAGCAAAAGATCAATTCTTAAAAGTGTAAAAGAAATATTGCAAACAATAAAAAATTTTTAAACACACGAACACTCGGAAATGGTGAATATTTTCGATACTATTGTTGATCAGAACGTATAGGCAATATTCCTATCGCGGTACGGTACATTGTATATGTTCACACGACGGATAGGCCTACCTATGAATGGAATTTTTTTTTTTTTTTAATTTTGATATTTACACAAGTTTAATTAATAAGAGATATGTTTACTTTGTAGTTTTACTCTGTTCTTTTCTTTAATTTGTCTTTTTTTAAATATAAAAATGATATTTCTTTATAATTTTTTTCTTCATTAGATATCGCTGAAAATATTCATAAATAAATTTTATATTGAAATATTTCAATTATTTCAAGTAGTTTCACTCAAATTTAGACACGAAACACGGAATGTTGACCCTGATCACCAGACACAGACTTCCTGTGTAATGCTACGTGTATATAGATTTTTGACGTCTTGGGTATTGGGGGTCTCCAGGTAAATAACAACACTGTTACTTGGACCACTCCCCCTCCTCAGGTAACCGTACGGTAAAAAAAATTGGGTCTTTAAGAAACGTAATATTGAAATATTAATACATGTACTGATATTTTTTAAGGTCGCTACCCATGTCTTGTGGTTTGGAGACGATATAAAAAATGTCATTGATCCCAGACGTCATGTAAAGACTACGTCTCAAGACTAAGTCACGGAAAGAAAGAAAGAGGAGAGAGACTTCCCGCAACAGCGAAGATTGGAAATTATGTATGTGTGAAAAAGTGTACTAAAACCAATTCATCTCAATCAATCTTAGTTTTTATCTGAAATAGTTGAAAAAAATTTGCAGCATTATTAATCTAGAATTAGATTAAGATTGGAATTACTAGCACAAAGTAATCTTGAAACTGATTTGCACGTCAAAGAATACATCTTTCAGGGGAAAAAAATACGGGCTTCATCGATATATTTTTAAAATAATTGTTCAGAAATAACTTTCATTCATGTCCCTGGCATACCCAACACACTAAACAATGATTCCTCTTATAAATATTTATATGTGAAATAAAATTGTAAATATAAATCACAAAAAAGGCTGTCTCTTAATTCTTAATAAATTTATTAGAGAAAACAATCAAAATGTAGGCATTACCATTTAAGCACTAAAATAACCAATTTGTTCACAGTTTTACAATTTAAAATATCGGACCAACACGGGGGAACATCTGCTTAGTCGGACTTCATTTTGTGATGTTTTTAATCTTTTCTATGTCCTGAGAAATGGACTTTTCTTTATTGTATTGTTCGTATATTTTTCGTCTTTTTACTGATTTAGATATATTACATAGATATAACTTCATACTAACATTCTGGGGGAAAGAAAATTTCTTCAATGATCAATGCTACATTCATAAATCAATGAACCGTATGGAAGTACATGTGATTTTCTCAATTACGGTAATTTTAAAACTCAAAATGTGTAAAACACAGAAATAATGGAAAAGATGTTTTTAAGGTCCGTGTTTGCTCTGCTCCTACTTTGTATTGTTTTATGGACTTTTGATCTTGAATACTGTTCGTTATCTCCATATATTTCATGTTTTGAACCACCTTAAAAAACAATAGGTAATTTTTTATACAAGCTTTCAAGTTTGTTTTAGTACTTATCTCTAAACGCAAACAATAAACAATATTGATAACAATATATGTATTACACATATTCATTATCACAGAATTTTTTTTAAATAAAACATCTTTTATAACTATTTTTAGGCATTAATATCTATACACATGAATATTATAATGAAATCAACATTAATTTTTGATCATATCATAGGTTACACTTAAGTGTAAATGATCACATCAAAATCAACCTAATTCTAAAAATTGCATCTTTCTATAGTGTACATAATGTCAACGTGAAAACGTTAAAATATGAAACACAAAAATACAAAAAAAATTTCAAAACATTAGAATTATATCAAATTAAATTAAGACAATAATAAAAACAAAGTACTTGTAACTATTAAGATGTTTAATAAACAATTTGTGAGAGAATAATAATCAATATATTATTCATAATGTAAATATTTGTAATGTAGTACGCGTATCTAACCAATATTTCAGCTGTAATCAAATAGAAGAAAAATCTTATCGGGAGAGAGATCGGGATATTTATTTATATAATTAAAAGCAATATAAGATGCAACTCTGATGTTAATTTTTTTTTTATTTATTTATTTATTTATTTTTTTTTTTTTTGCAAATTTGTAATTAAGTTTTAAGAACAGAGAAAAAGAACATTTCTAATTGTAGAACCATTGTTCATACATGTATTTGCGATGGAAAAACTTTTTATAAGCTATGATTAAAGCAAAATTACATTATTGTTGTCCCGTACTATATCGATTTCAAAAATAATGCTCTATAATTGTACAGATCTTTCTTCTGAAACAATTCAATACTAGTACTTTATAGGTTTAAATTACATACAAATCTATCATGATAAAACATCTTAACAACAACATAAAAATCTCAGAAATGCAGCTAATATTGCTTTCATATTTTTATCATAATTTATGTTCCCTCTACAGTTTATAATATGCGAAGGGATATTTTTTTTTATCTAAAGAACTGGAAGACAATTATTCACTAGAAAATATAATGGGTAAAAGTATTTGTAATTATGATGGCACTGTATAATTAACTTTTTTTGTACTGGCACGGTATGATTTACTTTGAGTATACCATTATAAAGCTATTTTTGAGTATACGTAACAAACAAGATTAGCTGTCCTTCTTGACAAAAATTACGGAAGAATTATTCCGACTGTAATCCGACATTGCAAAAATTGAAACCTAAGATCTTGTCGGCGGGGGGGGGGGGGGTAAAGATTAACATCAATTACGGAAAAATTATTCAGAAATTGCAAAATATAAAACCACAGATCTAGTTTGAGGGTCAAGAAAAATTTAACAAAATAATATTAAGCAAAAAAGTTCCAAAACTGGTCTATAAATGGGAGCAAAACAATGTATGAGTAAGCACTTCTCACGTAGAAGCTCTCAAATGTTTATGGACAATAAGAGATTTGGAAATAAATGCTCATCAGCTTTGTATCATTGATTCGCATACATGTTGTTTTCAACATCGTTTTCATAGTCCGAATCATCTGATAACTCCTCTTGAGTACAGGTGCTTGCTGCAGTTGAAATTTCTGACCCACAGTCTACTTCACCAAAGTCATTTGCACATGGATGGATAGAGGAATCAGTTTGGAATAGTGGGTTTTCTTTGTATACGTGGGGAACTGGTAAATCATTATTAGGTGTCATATTACTTCGGAATGGTTGTGGTCTCATCATCTTCATTTTCGATGAAAGGATGGTTCCATTTTCGTAATTTGGAGTTGCACTATAAGGGCATTTTTCTTCGGTTCCAGCATAAGACTCTCCTGATTGAGAAAACAGTTCATAATTTGGAATGTCTTCTAATTTCCCAGAAGATTGACCATCGCGTGTATGTGCACGCTCAAAATGATCCATTTCTTGGAGTTTCCGATATATTCTCTTTAGCTGTGTTTCATTTGATGCATTTGTATCTACAATTAATTCTTCTTTAATTTTTTCATCATTATAAGAGTTGTTTCCGTTGTTCTCTGATGAAGGTGCACCACTACATAAATCTGTAGGTTGATGCCTCTGTACACAAACGTAATCTTCGTCACTTTCACTCTCAATAGCTCCTCTGTCCTTCTCCATTAGATTTTCCGAGATCGCGTCTTGATAAGCTAATTTCTGGGACATGCTTTCAAAACTGTCATACGTATCGTCCTCTGTGTCTTTCTTTCTTTCATAGATTTCTGAAATCCTGAAATATTTTCAAGAATTTCCTTCTCTAATTTTACTTGAATTGAAATTCAATATAGAATGAGGAAAAAAAAGGGACTGATCTGCCAGTTGTGATCTTAAATGAGAAGCATTACATCCAGAAAGCAGAGTTTTAGTGTGTTTGGATCGAAAGCCTGTTTCATTGTTGATGCTATGAGATAAGAATGTTTCAAGAAATTTTATAAGTGATTCTCAATGATATTATCTATGATATTATGAGAGTTCTTTAAGTATGCCAAAATTACAAGCAGTAGCATTATCGAGAAGAAAAAGATATAAAAAGTTATAACCAAGCAAAAACCATATACCTGCTCATAGATTTCAGTTGCGTTACTGTCGTGTGCATAGAAATTATTAATTTAAAAGGTAAGTTTCATAAGGAGAGCAAAGCAACCGTTGAACAATAAAATTGTATTTCAGTCTAAGGTTGTGCAAGAGACCTGTACCCGGGATCATGAAACACCTTAAGCTTAAGTCAAAATCTATATTTGATAAATAAAATGTAGAAATCAAGCAGACCAAAATAAAAATATTTTCAATATTATTTTATAGAGTGGTTGTTGTGTGCAAATTTAGAAATAAATTCCATAATTAATAAATATTTTATAGGCCATTGAAAATTTGACTTAAGTCTAAATTTGTTTCATGATCCTGAGGCCAGGACTTAGATACTTTAAAGTTTAAACCACTGAATTAGTCGAGATTTATAAGGTTTAAATATCATTTATAAAAAAAGAAAGTTCGCAGTGAAGATGTGATGCTTTGCTTCCTATTATGAAATTAATACTTCTCATGATCTTACTTTCTAGCTATGATGCTCTCAATATCTGCAGCTGACGGTCGACTAGTTCTGTCCTGGTCCCAGCATGGCTTCATCACTTCCTTGTACAACCATTCAGGACAGGCAGGTGGTCGATAGGGAGAATGACCGTCATTTAAATGACTTAATATCTACCGTTACAAAAGAAATAATTTTTTTTTTATAAATCTCGCACACACAGTCATTAATTAAAGGCTATTCTCAAATTGAGAAATAGATGTAGTTTGTCCCCTCACGGTCATGCAAAAATATTAATTAATGAAAGTTTACTACACATATCATTTGTGTGAGAGTTGAAAGTGACTAATATTCAGTACTGTAAAAACTTGTAAAAACACCCTTTATAAAAAGAATTGTATACTCAATTTAATCGATTTATCCATACTTTTTTTATATATTTTAATGAGATTATTGAAAAATGCATATCAGTGAAGACGTACTTGAGATCTGTGTTTGTAGGAAAAAGGAACACATTGTAGTTGATCATTTCCAGAGACTGCCATGTAAAACTCGTAAAACAGCATGGCCATTGTATAAACGTCACTTCCTGTGGAAATTTCACCGTGTCCAATTACCTCCTTTGGAAGCCTAATATTTGTTAAATGAAGAGGTATTTGAAAAATGTACAGCCATAACTTGTGGTAGAACATAATAAACATGTCATTGAACATCCTGCTTTTCCACACTAGCATACTTATAAATTGCATATTCTTATGCTTTTTAGCTGTCTTTTCGCAATGCTCCACATGGGGTTTGTTTATACGTTAACCTGGCTGCGAGACGTCATATCTTACTAATATCATGATTACACATAGGTTTATGACAACTGTCTAGAACATAGTTAGCTGTAGAAGGTTCATTGTTTACTCTCAGTAATTTATGGGAAATATTTCTTTCAATAATTTCTCGAATAGAAGGAGAATTTGGGCGTGAATATGACTACTTTTTGGTTATTTCACATTGAAAAATAAAACGTTTGTTTCATTATCGATTTTATTCAAAAAATAAATTACAGTATTTTAAATGGGAATGTTTTTGTAATTGATCTGAAATATAGCAGTAGTTGAACTCTATACAGACCAGTACATAATATCCTCTAGCTTTCTGGCACACTTTATGCTATCTTCTCCAGATGGTAGTCTCAACATCCGTCCTATTCGTATTTGACATGCCTAAAATATATTTTAAAACTTTCTCAACAAATCTTCTTAAACGAAGTAAACCAATAAACAAGCTACTTTCTACGCTTTGGTATCCTCAGTTTTTCAACAAAACCGGTGAATGAAACATATGGAGAAAACGAACAAGCTCAAAAGTCCATATAACAATACGAAATAGGAACAGAGCAAACACGGACTTCTTAAACATAGGAGGTGGGATGCCTTAGAGGTGTGAACATCCCCTGCCGACCGGTCATTCCCGCCTTTTGCTCCTTATCATGTTTGGGAATTAAAGAAAAATCCGTACAGTCATTTCAGTGTGTAAATAATGGACTAACAATTAGCTATGAAAAACGTGAGTCAGCATTTGACTCTATGATGAATTGTATTTGCTGACAAGGTCATTGTATCGACCATAGAACTTACGTAATGATGACTTTAACTGAGACTGCTATTTTTGTTTCATCAATTGTTTGTCAACGATTTACTTTGTTTAGAAATCGTACATACGTGGAGCATGCTCGTGCGTATCGAATCAACTGAGTTATAAACTCCGGTAATTAAGGTATATTGCTGCATACAGACTCTGTGGTATCTTTTATTTCAAGTTCACCGGGATATATCGTATCGACATAAGAATGAAGATAACTAATGCTTATTGACAATACGTCGTATATATCTAAATATCGAGTTGAAGGCCAAGGGAAGAGTTTTTTCTTTTCATGCATTAGATTTTGGCAAACTCTGCTTTATATAATAGAAAAATAGGTCTGCTAATAACGGGGTGCAGTTGGTACACATGGGAAGTCCACAATCGATTGTTGAAAGACCAGGTCTCTAAAAACGACATAGATATTGTTAATCAGAAACTCGCGCATCTTTTTTATGTCAACTTCTGAGTACTTGTGTATACAATCAGAATATTGGGAATGACTACTTCCAAACTTTTCCGTATAAAAACATGATACAATTGAATAGTTGAAAACATAACCTTGCAAATTTTATTATCAATACAACGACCTTGTCAGCAAATACAATTTATCGAATCTATTGTAAATTGTATGCTGACTGGCGTTTATCATACTAGTAAATGAACAAAAAATCACACAGTAGTTACAAGGGAAGCTTTCTTCCGTGGCACCTAATCCCACCTCTGCTGTTAAAGAGGTCTGTGTTTACTCTGCTATATTTGTATTATTTCAATGGACTTTTTTAGCTTGTTTACTGTTTGTTATCTCCATATTTCATCAAAATACACTCTTCTTCTAAAAATTAGCAAAAGTTTCTTTGCAAATTTCAAATTTATATTATCATAACTCTGTTAAGTAAAAGTTCAATTTCTAAAACTTTTCTGTCTCTCTAGTGTATACATATGTGTAATAAGTAACAAATTGTATGAGTCAGAACTACCTTTAAACCGTTTTCCTCTTGGATATAAATGCTCTTTCCAGTTATATCGACCAATAGCCAACGTTTTTCATGCATCCTTTTCACCAGACACGCGACTTGATGTATAATTCGGAGGTGATAATTTTCCTCTCCATGTGCGTTGTTGACGTATAATGGAACTAAATCCATGATGTTCCTAGCTGCTGGGAAACTGTATTTCTATACAAACAATTTTGTAGGTTGTAAATTGAAAAAAACCCTTTTGCTTTGAGACCTTGAAATCCCTTAAATAAAGCTAAATCCCTTACCAATATTACTTTGACTCCCCAGTGGTAAAGGAATGCTTCACTGGTGGCCATTGCATGCACATTTTCTCTCCAAAATCTGGACTCATTTTTGGGAATATTTTGTCATGAAAGTCGACAGTTACTTCTTCCTCTACTTCAAGTTCAAATCTCTACAATTGCAGCATTTTCATTCTAAGAACAATCACAGCTATTCAATGCTTTTATCTATATTGTATAAAATGAAATCATCAATATGATCAAAAGGTTAATTAAAAAAAAACTATAATTCATGAATAAAAGAATATTAAGCATCTTTTCAAACCTTGGAAATTTTTAAACAAATCAATATTTTTTTAATACTGTAATTAAGGTCTTCCGTTTCCAACGGAAGACCTACTGATTCTGTTGGTAAAGATTATTAGGGTCTTCGGACTTCCTTCGGAAGACCCTACTGTTATTCTACTGTTTCTTATTATTATTTTATTTTTTTTTCCCGCTCGATTTTTGACAGGCGATTTCTCAAAGACCTTTGGACTGATTTTTATGAAACTTTCAGGTTAGATACCTTGTAATTAAACCTATTTACACCTGTTTTCAATTTTTTGATGCATGCCTTTAATTGTGAGTTATTGCCCTTTAATTGATAATTTTGATGTCTCGTTTCCACTAAAAATCTCTCAATGATGTAGGATATTTACACGAAAGTTGGAGAACTTGTAGCCAATACATTGTAGATGTGCAGAACGATAAAATTATGAGCTGATTTTCTAAAGTTTGGAAGCTATAAAACGGCAAATTTTAGTAATTTTTTTTCTTGAATTTTTGCTACTTTTTGTGTAATAACTTTTGAACCGAGAATAATTTGGTAAGAAATATATAACAAAAGTTGTGTGTAATTACGAGAGCTTTCATATTAGATTAATGAAAAGGGGCTGGCCCCTATAATTAGGGGTTAATAGCTCATACACGTTTTTTCTGATAGCTAAAAATATTGGTATATTATGAAAAAGTTTGACTGAAATAATTTCGAACTTATAAAATCTTGTCATTTGATATAAAAAGAAATAAACTTCCAGCTATATTTAATTGTTTTTATATAAAACAAGTACATGTATGTGAGAAACCTTTCAGGAACAAGTTGTCTACTATAGCCAGCCAAGCCTTTACTGCATACATGTGCACATTTTTAGTTGATGCATCTAAAAGATATAGTTTTGATTCGGTGTTTCTTTGTTTTCTTTTTATTCAAATAATTTTAAAATGTGATGATGTACACAACAATAAATAGTACCTAGTTTAGAGGATTTTCTCGCGCTTGTTTGTAAACAACGCGCGGCATTGTGGGAAATAGGAAGGTACTAAAGACGCGATGTACTAAACACTTACTTGACCTGATTCAAATTTGTCTGTAAATGTTCCAAACAATTGAATTTTTGTATAGCATATGACTCGAAGTCATAAAGTCTGTACATAAGTAATTTAAAATACTCAATATTACCATTTAATTAAAAATTAAAACGTCAGGTAAATATCAGGTCTAGTATATCCCGTTTTTAGTGTGACCCTTGGAGTCGACGTCGGACACATGTTTGTCATGGTTTACAAACTGAAAATAGAATGATTTGTGAAATTGAACATTTTCTCACAAAGAATCCGCTTGTAGACATGCACACTCATTTAATCTGGAGCTACGAAGTACTTTGTCACTTCTCTGAGAACGTATTATAGTTTTCGATAGGCCTGAATTTAGCGAAAGTTACCTCCCGTTGGCCGCCATATTGGAGGTCGACTCAGTGATTTTCCCTCTTTGTCTAACCAAGTTTAAGAAAATATATCAGAAATATTTGGTGGAAAATTTTTATCAAATAATTTTTTTTTAAATAAAGGAGGCTTCCAAAAATTTATATACTTCACAAAAATAATGATTTCTAATTGAAAATAGCAAATATAAAAATTTTAAATTGGTTGAACAGTGAAGGAATATGAGCATTTGGACCTCCAGTATGGCGGCCAACGGGAAGTAACTCTTGGTCAATCGAAAACTATCTATTCTAAGCAGAATT